TTGACCAAGGAGGTGAAAGATCTCTATAAAGAGAACTACAAATCATTGAGGACTGAAATTGTAGATAATGTAAACAAATGGAAAAACATACCATGCTCATGGATTAACAGAATCAATATCGTTAAAATGTCCATACTACCCAAAGTGTTTTACAGATTCAATGCAATCCCCATCACAATACCATCATTTCTCACAGATCTAGAAAAAATAATTCTGCACTTCGTTTGGAACCAGAAAAGAGCCCGAATAGCCAAAGCAACTTTAAGCAAAAGGAACAAATCTGGAGGCATCACTTTACCAGACTGTAAGCTATACTACAATGCTACAGTAACCAAAAGAACATGATACTAGCACAAAAACAGAGACTTAGACCAATGGAACAAAAACAGAGAACCCAGATATAAAACTATCCACATATTGCATCTGATCTTTGCCATTGCATTTTGGAAAAATTAACTTATTTTGGTTTTACAGGCTCACAGCTAGAAAGAGTTTGCCTTGAGTCTCAGAGAGGAGACTTTGGACTTTAGACTTTTGAGCAGGTGCTGGAATGAATCAAGACTTTCAGGACTATTAGAATGGAATGATTATATTTTGTGTTGTGAGAAGAACATAAGTTTTGGGGGTCAGAGGTGGAATGCTATGATTTTAATATGGTTTGTCCCCACCAACACTCATGTTGAGGCTTGGTCCCCAATGCAATGGTGTTGAGAGCTGGCAGGACGTTTAGGAGGCTTTTGGGTCATAAGGGATCAACCCTCATGAAAGGATTTATGTCATCTCAAGAAAGTGAGTGAATTCTCACTCTCATAAGACTGGATTATTTACCAAGACAGGAGATTATTATAAAACAAAGTTGTCCCTCACATTTTGTCCTTTTGCATGCACTCCTGCCATATGATGCCATCTGTCATGTTATGACTCATCTTGAAGCCCTCATCAATCTTGAACTTCTCTGCCTCCAGAACTGTGAGCCAAATAAACCTCTTTTCTTTATAAATTATCCAGTCTCAAATATTCCACTACAGCAACAAAAAATGGACTAAAACCGTAGTAGTTTGGAATAAAAGAAAGTCAAAAAATTAAAATAAATTAACATGGTACATCAGTCAAAATAGGCTAGGTTATACCCTGGTAATAAGCAATCCCAAAATCTCAGTGCTTACAATAACAATGGTATATTTCTCACTCATACTATATGTCTGTGTGGGCTGGCTGAAGGATTAATTCCACAATGTCCTAACACAGAAATACATGCTAATAAAAGGTACACAATCTGGAGACAGGAACATGACAAACAGTGTACCAACTCTTAAGGACTTCCAACGGGAAATGAGACACACCATTTTTTTCACACTTTATTGACAAAAAATAGTCACATGGCTACACTTCAGGAACCTAGAAAAACACATATCTACCATGGGCCCAGAATAAAAAGAAACAAAGATACTGATGAATAGGATTAATGATTACTCGAGTTTACCAAATTGGTTGAAATCAAGAGTTTTTATACTACTAGATGTACAATGAATCTGTCCAGAGACACCCTTTCTCCCAATACCCATTAGATGCAGAAGGAAATATTTACATAGAGTTCCATACCAATTAGACATTCATTTTCAAAAATTGAGATAAAATTCACATACTATAAAATTCACTCTTTTGCAATTTACAATTTAGTTGTTTTAGTATACTCACAAAGCTATGCAGTGCTCACCAAAATCTAATTCCAGAAAACTTTTATCATGCCAAAAAGAAACCCCATACCAGAAAGAGGAGCTCTCATACCCTGTTGGTGGGAACACACATTAGTACAACCCCTATGGAGAACAATGGAGATTCCTCAAAAAAACTAAAAATAGAACTACGATATGACTCAGCAATCCCACTGAGGTATATATCCACAAAAGGGAAGTCAGTATATCAAAAAGATATCTGCACTCCCATGTTTATTGCAGCACTATGCACAATAGCCAAGATATGGAACCAACCTAAGTATCCATCAATGGATGAATGGATAAAGAAATTGTGGTACATATACACAATGGAATATTATATAGCCATAAAATAGAATGAAATGTTGCCATTTGCAACGACATGGATGGAACTGGAGAACATTATGTTAAGTGAAGTAAGACAAGCACAGAAAGACAAATCTTGCATGTTCTCACACATATGTGAGAGCTAAATATTAAAACAATTGATCTCATGGAGACAGAGAGTAGAATGATGGTTCCCAGAGGCTGGGAATGGTAGCAGGGAAGGGGGGATTAAGTGGGGATGGCTAATGGGTACAAAAATATAGTGAGGTAGTTAGAATCAACAATATTTGATTTGAACAAAGTGACTATAATAAACAAGTTAGGGTATACTTTAAAATAACTAAAAGCGTGGAATTGGAATGTTCCTAACACAAAGAAATGATAAACGTGATACCTCAATTACCCTGATTTGATTAATATATATTGTATGCTTATATCAAAACATCACATGTACCCTATAAATATGTACAACTATTATACACAATAGTATTTTTTTTTTAATTTTTTAAAAAAGAAACCCTATATCCATTAGCAGTAACACTCCATTTCCTCCTCCACCCAGGCCCTATCAATCGCTAATCTACTTTCTGTCTCTATAGATTTGCTCACTCTGGAAATTTCACATTAATGGAATCACACACTATTATGGCTCTTTATATCTGTCATTTACACTTAGCATTATGTATTCAAGTTTCATCCATGTTGTAGCATGAATCATTATTTCATTCCAGTTTATAGATGAACGATATTGCACTGTGTGAATACACTACATTTTATCTTATTTTATGCATATGTCAGTTGATTAACATTTGGGTTGTTTTGACTTTTTGCTTATTACAAATAATGTTACTATGAACATTTGTGTACAAATTTTTGTGTGAATATGTTTAAATTCTCTTGGGTATATACCTAAGAGTCGAATTGCTGGGTCATATGGTAATCCTATGTTTTTAATATTTTGAGGAACTGCCAAACTATTTTCCAAATTGGCTGCACCACTTTACATTCCCACCAGCAATGTATGACAGGTTTAATTTTTCCACATCCTCGCCAACCTCTAATGTCTATCCTTTTATTTACAGCCATCCTAATGGGTATAAAATGGCATCCCATTATAGTTTTGACTTGGATTTACCTAATAACTATTGATATTGAACATCTTTTCATGCGCTTATTGGCTATTTGCTTATCTTTGGAGAAATGTCATTCAAATTTTGTCCATTTTGTTTGGTTTATCTTTTTATTATTGAGCTATAAGGGTTCTTTATATATTCTAGTACAAGTCCCTTATCAGATATTTGATTTGCAAATATATTCTCATATTCTGTGGGTTATCTTTTCATTTTCTTAATGAACTCCTTGAAGCACAGTGATTTTTAATTTTAATGAAGTCAAATTTATCTATTTCCTCTTTCGCCACTGAGAATTTTGGTATCACATCTAAGAAACTATTGCCTAATCCAAGAGTCATGAAGATTTAAACCTATGTTTTCTTCTAAGAGTTTTATGGTTTTAGCTCTCACATCTAGGTCTATGATACATCTTGAGTTAATTTCTGTATATAGTGTAAAGTAAAGGTCCATATTCATTCTTTTGCCTATGTTTATCTAGTTGTCTTAACACCATTTGTTGAAGAGACTATCCTTTCCCCCTTTAAATTGTTTTGGCACTCTTCTCAAAAATCAACTGATTATAAATTTAGAGGTTTATTTCTGGACTCTCAGTTCTATTCCATTAATATACAAGTCTCTTCTTATCCCAATGCACACTATCTGGATAATTATAGCTTTATACTAAGCCTTGAAATCAGGAAGTGTTCATCT